TAATTTAGTTTTAGTCTTTTCAAACTATATGGGGGTTTTGAATGATGATTATATATATATATTTATAAAATTATTTTCAGTCTCCTTTTTCCTTCCCCTGTTTTTAATGTCAGTGGTTGGGAATAGAAATGGATCTTCTACACATAGTGCTCTGTAAAATATATACCTGTGCTTTTTAAAAGTGATTTGGTACAGTTGTCATCATTGAGGTCTATCACCTGGGGCATTATGTTGCCTGTGAAAGCCTTTCTTGGACATGTGGTCCTATTTAAAACATCCATGAGCGTATTTGGCTCATGCCAAGTAGTTTTGGACAGGGCCAAATATCAAGGACGTTTTGGTGTGGATAAAATATCTTATGGACATTTTAGACAGGACCAGATGTCTGCTAGTCCTGAGAGCTTGACGAGATGGTTGGTTAACATCATTTCAACAACCATTGAGAATGAGTGGGTTAATGACTTGCTGTTTCCTGGGGTTTGGTAACTTAAACTCACCTTAGCACTATTGATAGTTTCATAGACTTTTTGAAGTTAGAAAGAAACTTGGAGTTAACTCTTGTCCAGCCTTCAGCTAATATAAGAATGACCTGTATCCTTCTACATCCCTGACTGATGGGCATCCTGCCTTTGAGCACTGCTCCTGGATGGATGGAACAAAAGAAGAAGGTCTTTCTTGCAGTGCTTGGTGTTCTGTAGAAAACAGACATTTACAATGTCAATAATGGACAGTAAGAGTCATGTGGACTTAGCTTTTCTTTTCTGTACTTCAAAATGGAGGTTAGTGTTCTGAACTGAAGTGGAAGTGTCCGAGAAAGGAAAAGTGGTCCATATTTTACTTGTTCTAGATCAACGTTTCTCATCCTTATCAGGCCCACTGCCCCCTTTTGTAGGAGAAAAAATTTTAATGTGCCCCATAATATTTTGAAACAAGATTGGTAGATAATAATAACCTATAATTATATATATATTAAAAAGCAATCAGTATAACACTTTGGGCTTCCCTTGTGATTCAGCTGGTAAAGAATCCACCTGCAATGCAGGAGACCTGGGTCATCACTGGTTGGGAAGATCCCCTGGTGAAGGGAATGGCTACCCACTCCAGTATTCTGACCTGGAGAATTCCACGGACTGTATAGTCCATGGTGTCGCAAAGAGTCAGACATGACTGAGCGACTTTCACACTCTAACAGTTTAACTACAATGTATTGTGAGAAAGTAATTTATGTTTTTCAGTTTATGACTCAGCCACAACTATAGGTCATTATAAAACTCAGATGCTTGTTCTGTGTATGGAATCTATGTAGTTTGCTGCACATGCAGACTGCAGTATGTGTGCTACTGAGAATGTGATTGTCAGAAATGGAGCTCAGCTTTCCTAAAATTTCTAAATGATAAGAACATATTTTCCCCATTTATGCAGCAGTTGCATTCCCGGAAAAATCCAGTATATGCTAAAACTGTGCAAAAAAGCCTTTGTGTTTATATGAGAAATGGGGTTAGGTTCTAGACTCAGATCATGAATGGTTTTTTTTGTTTTGCTTTTTGAACGGTAGGGATGGCCAAAGGATCATTTGAAAATTGTACAGAACACAAGACCAGTGCCTCATTGATAGGATTGTTTTGTATATTGCAATAGAACACCCAACCACTCCAACAACCAAAAATGCTCTCATAAATTTCCTTTACACTGCCCATGAGGCTGTACTATCCCTTTTGAGAATCACTGCCCTGTGCTGATTCCAGCAGAACTTTACCAGCACCTTGAAGCCCAGGGAACTTCCTTAGGTCAAAAATTTATATAAACGTGTGCATGTGAAATGTCTTGTAGAAATCTTTAGTCATATTCCCTTTTCACTAACTTCCTAGATTTTTAAATTACTGTGAAATTTATTATAAACAAGCCCCACCCCCACCCCCCGCCGTCCATGCATACTAAAGCCATACCTAGAACATCATCAGTTCAGTTCAGTTCAGTCGCTCAGTCATGTCCGATTCTTTGTGACCCCATGGACTGCAGCACACCGGGCCTCCTTGTCCATCACCAACTCCCGGAGTTTACCCAAACTCATGTCCCTTGAATCGGTGAAGCCATCCAACCATCTCATCCTCTGTCGTCCCCTTCTCCTCCTGCCCTCAATCTTTCCCAGCATCAGGGTCTTTTCAAATGGGTCAGCTCTTCACATCAGGTGGGCAAAGTATTGGAGTTTCAGCTTCAGCATCAGTCCTTCCAGTGAATATTGAGGACTGATTTCCTTTAGGATGGACTGGTTGGATCTCCTTGCAGTCCAAGGGACTCTCAGGAGTCTTCTCCAACACCAGATTTCAAAAGCATCAATTCTTCAGCTCTTAGCTTTCTTTTCTTTTTTTACTTCATCCCAAGCTGACATTCTGTGCTTATTAAACAATAGCTCCACATTCTTAGCCCTTAGCAATCATTGTTCTGCTTTCCATCTCTATGAGTTTTGACTATTCTGTATACCTTGTATAATGGAATCATGGAATGGTTGTATTTTCTTTCTGGCTTATTTCTGGCTTAGGATAATGTCTTCAAGGTCCACCTACTTTGTTGCACGCATCAAAATTTCCTTTCTTTTTAAGACTGAATAATATTCCATTGTTTGTATATACTACAGTTTATTCATTCATTAATACACATTTCAGCTGTTGATGCCTTTTAACTATTGTAAATAATACTGCTGTGAACATGGGTGTATAAATATCTCTTTGAGTTGCTACTTATAATTCTTTTGGGTATACACTCAGAAGCGGAATTGCTGAATCATATGGTAATTCTGTTTTTTTAATTTTCATTTTTTAGAATAGAAATTCTGTTTTTAAAGTTTCAACTGCCATACCATTTTCCATAGTGGCTACACCATTTCACATCACCATCGACTGTGTTCAAGAGTTCTGATTTCCCCACATCCTTCCCAAAACTTGTTATTTATAGGTTTTTGTTTTTGTGTTTTGACAAGTAGTCTCCTAATGGGTGGTATCTTATAGCTGTTTTGATTTGCCTTTTCCTAAAGATTAGTGAGGTTGAGTGTGTTTTCATGTGCCTTTTGGCTATTTATATATCTTCTTTGGAGAAAAGTCTATTCAAGTCCTTTTTCCATTTTTTAATTGGGTTATTAACAAGATAAATATCTTGTTAAGTTGTAGGAGTTTTCTGTATGTATTCTGGATGTTCATCATTTATCACATATTTAATTTGAAAATATTTTTTCTCCTATTCTGTGAGTTGCCTTTTCATTTTCTTTTTAGTGTCTTCTAATGCACAAATTTTAAAGTTTGATGAAGTCCCATTTGTTTCTTCTTTTGTTACTTGAACTTTTGGTGTCATATCCAAGAAATCATTGTCAAATCCAATATCATGAAGTTTTCTCCTATGTTTTGTTCCAAGAGTTTTATGGTCTTATCCCTTATGTTTAGACCTTTTATCCATTTTGCGTTTATTTTTTTGTATGGTGCAGGGTAAGGATCCAACTTCATTCTTTTACATGTGGGTATCTAATTTACTAGATTTTCAACTTTTCAGTTTCAAAATTGTTGTTTATAGTCTTAGCTGTCTTACCATTATACAATCTTAATCTTCTTTCACATAAAACTTTTTTGCATTTTTTAAAACAATCTATTTCCCAGTTTATGTTATACAGTTATTTTTATTCTTAAATATGAGCATGTTTTGTTTCTTCATTTTTTGAAATTATTTAGCTTTGTCCTCTTTTTCAGTCTTTATTATTTTTAACCCTGATATGCCTTAATCTCTTTTTGCACTTGCCTGCTTGATACATTACTTATATGGTTTGAGTGCTATTTTTCCATTTTTATTATAAAGTGATACTTGATTATTAGAAAATAATTTATGAAAATATATAAATTAGAAAATGAAAAGATTTCATTTCATATCCTAGCCTCAAGGATTAATAACAATTTCATGTGTATTCTTCTAGATACTGATTGTGTATGTGTATATTCCAACACACATATTTACTATTCATACACTCTTGTAGCCTGTTTTTTCCCACATAACATATCCTGAACATTTTTCTATGTTGACTCATATAAAACTATCACATTTTAATGCTTTTATAAAAATATTTTTGTATGTCTCTCATGATTTGTTAAATCAGCTTCCTATTACCGGACGCTTAGGTTGACTCGACTCTTCTATTGTTAAAAAATGTATAAATATGTTTACGGTGGATCTCTAAAAGGGATTGTATGGTTTGGACTAGGGTATTTATTAAGGCTTATGAAATGTATTATCTGTTGCCCTCCGAAAGGTGGTAACCATTCTACTTTCAGGAATAGTATGAGAATGTACTCACTCGCACACCATTCCTTATACCATATTGATTTAGCTAAAAATATTTCATTACTTTCCTTTTAGTGATCAGTGAGGTTGGCTGTCTGTTTATGTTTGTAGGGCTTGTATATTTCCTCTGTTGCCAGTGTTTGGGCTTTATTTTTGGTTTCTTTCTTGTTGCTTGCTTTGTATTAGTTTATTGGCTTCATCTTATCTAGTTTAAGTATTTTAAATAGTAGTTTTCTTATCGCCCTTTTTCTGTAGTTCTTTTCCTGATTCTTATAGTTTTGACTATTTTGTTGTCTGTCAGAATTTTTTAAATTATGATTTTTCCTCTTTTTAAGTATTCCTGGATTTAAAAGAAGGAGCAAGAATCATGACTTAACAAGGGCAATTTTAGGACGATTCCACGTCCTGCCCTACATCTGACACTAGGGGTGGCTTTTTCCATCCCCTTGCCCTTGTAGGAGCTCTCTGAAGAGCTCTCCTTAGTGAAATTCTAAAATGACTGTTTGAATGGCCTAAAAGCTTTTAACTTTTGCAAATCTGGAGACCTACAGGTTAAAATTTCTTCCTCAGGGAATATTTTGCTAGTTCTGCATTCAGACTAAAATAGTAGAGATACATCATTCTCTCATAACAAGCACCACTAGTCTGCTAGGTGTGAAATCTTTGGACTTCTCCTTTAGGTAAAATCACTAGTCTTTCGGCAACTTGTGTAGTCAGAAGGTCTACATGAGAGAAGAGTAGGTATAACAAAGGTTCCCTTTAGAAAAGGTTGGTCTTCTGTGAGCAGAGACGCAAGCATTAGTCGAGGTTCAAGACGGTTTCTTAAGAAGGAGGTAAGTGGAATGTTTGTAATCTACTTTTAAAATAATCCATTTAAAATTTTTTTATTGGATTATAGTTTATTTACAGTGTTGTTAGTTACTGCTGTGCAGTAACTAGCAGTCAGTCAGTTCTACATATACATACATTCAGTCCTTTTTAGATTCTTTCCCATATAGATCATTGCAGGGTGTTGAGTAGAGCCCCCTGTGCTATACAGTAGGTCCTTATTAGTTGTTTATTTTATAGTAGTGTATATGTCAATCACAGTCTCCCAGTGTACCTCCTTCCTCGCTTTCCCCTGAATAGCCATAAGTTACTACTAAAATATTCTTAAAACTATCTTTCTAATTATAGTCTATCAAATTTTCACTAACTTTTAAAACATCTTTATTGAGATGTAATTCTCCAGCCATACAATTTGCCCTTAAAGGGTACAATTCAATGTTTTTTTAGTATATTCACATTGTAGTGCAGCCATTACTGTAATGAATTTTAGAACATTTTCATAACCTCCAAAGAAAACCCTGTATCCTTGACCAGTTACCTCCTATTTTCTCTAAACCCCACGCCCCCATCCCTTGCCTTAAACAACCACTAATCTACTTCTGTCTCTATAGATTTGACATTTCTGGGCATTTAATATGAATAGAATCATACACGGTGTGGTCTTTTTGTTGACCTCTATCACTTCACATGATGTTTGTAGCATCTATCAGTACTTCATTGCTTAAATGGCCAAATAATATTCCATTGTATTGATATGCCGCGTTTTGTTGATCTCTTCAGTAGTTGATGGATATTTGGGTTGTTTCCATTTGAGGGCTATTACGAATAATGTTGCTTTGACCACTGATTACAACTTTTAGCGTGGACATGTTTCATTTCTCTTGGTTAAGTACTTAGGAGTAGAAATATTGAATCAAATGGTAACTTCCATTTAACTTTTTGAACTTCTGAGGATTCCAGTTTATTCACACACTTAGCAACACTTGCTACTATCTGACCTTTTGGTTCTAGCCATCCTGGTATATGTGAAGTAGTATCCTCTTACGGTTTTGATTTGCATTCCCCGGATGACTACTGATGTTGAGTATCTTTTCATGTTTATTAACTCCTATTTAACTTTTAAAATTTAAATATACTAAATCCCTAATGGAAACTCTAGTCTGGCATTTATTCCATTAGAGAGAATGAATCAAGACATGTATTTCATTAATTATATGATACATGTATTTTGGAAGATTGCTGGAGAAGGGAGAGGCTACCCAATCCAGTATTCTTGGGCTTCCCTTGTGGCTCAGCTGGTAAAGAATCCACCTGCAATTCAGGAAACCTGGGTTCAATCCTTGGGTTGGGGAGATCCCCTGGAGAAGGGAAAGGCTACCCACTCCAGTATTCTGGCCTGGAGAATTCCATGGACCGTATAGTCCATGGGGTCACAAAGAGTTGGACATGACTGAGCGACTTTCACTTCACACATTTTTCACATTTAACATACTGAAATCAGCACATGCACATCTTACAGTAAGTATAATATGGCTTATAGTAAAGACAACTTGAAAAAGAAAACCCAGTTGGCATTTAAGAAGTTTACTGTTTCTGGTACCATAGTCCTAGAGCAACTGATTCATCTAAAAATTAAAGAGTTCTCAGATTAGGACTTAGTACTGATAATTCCTTTTCTTACAGATCACCAGACTAAGTTTTTAAGTAACTCGTGATGTGAGGTCTCTTTTCCTCCACAAGTCTTTTCTGGTTAGTTCACTGATACTTGCCAACCTATTTTATCATGTCCTGCCAATCATGAGGGATTTGATGCATTATTTATCCCCATTTTAATAGATTTTTTTCCTTATTTCCTTATAAAATTATTGGATATTTAATGAAGAATTTTTGTTTATTACTTATAAATTTAAGTCTCTGTGTTTTAGTTTGCATGGGGTGCAGGAATTTAGTTAAAACTGTTTAATCACTGATCAGTTTTAGATTCATTTTTGTTTGGTGAAGAGAACTGATGAGAAAAAGTAAAGGCTTATGTTTTACTGATCCCTATAGGACTTTGACCCTGAACAGGAACTGGCTATGGCCAGAATGTATGAATTCAGCATAGTTTTTTTTTTTTCTTTTTATTGTTTGTATGAACCTACAGTTTAACATGACAAGTAGTTTTAATGATTTCTAGTAGTGTTGTGTAGAGTTCTGTATTGCCCCATTCCTTACCACCCCTTTTATTGTGGGAAGAATACCTAAAATGAGATCTGCTGTCTTAAAAAATGTTAAGTGTACAGTATTGTTAACCATGGAAAATCAGGGAGTTGCCTCATTTCTTTTTAACATAACTTAATGATGTAAAATGACGTCTAACAAAACTATATATATGTGACTCCTGCTAAAATGAACTACCTCACAGCTCAGTCGATAAAGAATCTGCCTGCAATGCAGGAGATGCAGGTTGGATCTCTGGGTCAGGAAGATCCCCTGAAGAAGGAAATGGCAACCCACTCCAGTATTCTTGCCTGGAGAATCCCATGAAGAAAGGAGCCTGGAGGGCTATAGTCCACAGGGTCGCAAGAGTCAGACACAACTTAATGACTAAACCATAGCGTGAAGAACTGAGGAGAATAACAATCTTATTGACAGATAATGTGTTTTTATAGATTCTGGCTTCACTTTGTTAATAGCTTATTCCTTATTACTGAGGTTTGCTTCTGTGTAATTTCAGTTATCGATCCTAATTCAGCCTTCTTGAGTGTCACACAGTGTAACTTCTCTTCCCGTGTAGGGTCTTAAGCTGTTTATCACACACCCTGTTTTCTCCTGGTCTTTTTTCTAAACATTCCTCCCTCCCTCAGCCTTTCCTCAAATGAAGTAGTTTATAGTCATCTATACCTCCTCTCTGGACATAATTCTGTTTTATCTGTGTTCTTCCTAGAACTGTGGCTAGAAAGGATATTTTAGACATTATTGGACCAGTGAAAAGTATATTAGGGTTGTAGTTCTTAGGAATTATATACTCGTACATGTTTTGTTTTATAGCAGCTTTCTGTAACTTTCTACTATCATTTTCTTCCTCTCATTAGTTTAGTTCTTCCACTGACTTACTAGGTACATTAGCTTGTTAAGATCCATTAGTAGCAGTTGTATTTTAAGTAAACCATCTGCGTGTCTTTATTAATCACTGCCGTAAGTAGCCCTTCCTCCCCACACGATCTGAAGTGTTTCCTGCCACCTTCCTCCCCCTCCTGCGATGAGGACACGCAGCTCTTATTCCCAGTCCTTCTGTTCTCAGTGCCCAGAGCTTACCTGCCACACAGCAAGCACTTCATGCTTTCTGAATGGAAGAAAGCGTGTTGAGATTGTTCATTTTCTTGACTGTCTCCTTTGACTCTAGATAAAACGTTTATAGTCAGGACCTGTGATTTATTCAACTTTGACTTGGTTGTGTAATGTGATCCTTGACACACAGATGCTGGAATTCTGGCTGAGTATATTAGATAGATTATTTTGAAAACTTCCATGGCTAGAGAATGATTGGAGTTATATGAAAGAGGTGAGACTGGAATACCTGTGGGTCCAAATTCTAGCATCCTTGGAATGTCATGCTCAGAAGTTTGTGTTAAAGAACTGATACACATTTAAACATTTTAGAAAAATGGTTGTGGGAGGATTATAAACATTGGAAGATAAAGGTAATTAAGTTCTGAATTCGTTGACACGCAGGGGGAAATTTCCTTTGTAGAAGTTCTCTGTACTGATAGGATCAGAATTTACCGGTCTTAAGGGCAAATTCTAAAAATATATATATACTTTTGTAAATATAACTTGAAGTATTCTGTTTTAGTTGAAAACATAAGTATAGTTCTGTTTAGCAATCTTTTGATGTACAATTTTGATCCCTTTTGGGGGGTATGATTCACTGATTATATAGTTCACAGTTGTCTTTTTTGCATAGTTAAAATGAACCCCTTACTTCCAGTTTCTTTCTTTCTTTTTTTTTCAACTAAAGATACTTGCAAAGGAATCTGAGTGAAGAATCCTCTTAGATTTTTTTTCTCCTCTCTGTTGAAGAGTTTCTCACATTGATTTAATTCAGTGGCCATTTTTAGCAGCTTGCTTTATTGCATTTTTTCAAGGCACCCAACTTAGTTTTTAGGAGGAAACCAAAGCAGATAAAAAACAAAACACAAACCCTTTTATTTTGTATATTAATATATTGACTGGCATAATGTTTCATTTAAAAAAATTTTTTAAATTCAAATATGAAACAAACAGCACAGGAAAGAAAAGAATAGGCCTATGGGATAAGCAAACATTTCTGGTGGTTCTCCTTTAGCCACTATCCCTTGATAGGACACATTGCCACACAGATAGTGACTCTATTTCCCAGCTTTACTCGCGTGAAACTACGAAGATCAATTCTGCTCGTGGGGATGTGAAGGGAAATAAGCTACAGCTTTGGGGTTGTCCCCTTAAAGGGAAAGCACCTTGCCTGCACTTCCTCTACTTGTGGGCGCCCCAGTGACTGCAAGTTCGTGTACCAGCGAGTCGCTGAACAGATGCCTGTACCCCAGTAGGAAGCTTGTCGTGAGGAGGCAGAGCAGTGAGGTAGAAGGTGCTCGGGCCTCAGTGCAGGCCTTGGATGGCTCACATGTGGACTGCTGACTGAAAGAGCGATGGCATTCTTTCTCTCTTGTTTAAACCACTTCCATTGCCTGAACCAGAATCCTCATGAAAACTTTAAGGTATGTGTGTACATGCCAAAAGCTTGGTGCCCCATGGAATTGATTTAATCTGAGTCAATAAAAGTAGAGAAGGTAGTATGTGCATTGGATTATGTACTGAAGGGAAGTGTTTGAAGTGGTGAACGGATGGAGTCAGTTCACATCAGATGTGAGACATGTCATCCTAGTCAGATTTATGATTCCTCTGAACAGGCTATGAAGATACTGTATAAAATCTGGGATGTTTGATAGGGGAAAGTATAACATCCATGTTTTTAAAAAAATATGAT